CAAATTCTATTGCATTTATGGTTGGTGGATTTATTACATTTGTGGTTAAAAGTTATTACATTTATGGTTGGTATTACATTTATGGGTGATACAGCAACACACGGGATTTAGCTTTAGAGCACCTTGGAGTAGGTGAGCTAATCTAGGCGGGTCATGTTTCCAGGAATCATATACACTTAAGTACAACTAAATACAACTAAAGGCAACAAGAGAACTAAAGAAACTAAAATTGACAACAGTGACTAGAGACCACCAATAAGCTAACGGTGTTACAAATAATGATTAGCAACAGTTATAAAAAGAGATTATAGATACCCTAAAACGACATTGATATACTGATATATATATATATATATATATATATACAATATATATATTGATATACTGTGACAATTTGGTTTCAAAACGTTTCCGTCTGAAGGTGGTGGTGTGGGGGAATGGGGGTTCCTTTTCCTTTGCTTTTTCATCGTAAACTAGGCTCTGCATTGTTTTCGACGGGAGTGTCAGTTAAAAGGAACGTTTCTTCAAATAAATATTAAAATCTCGACCAGCGCACTGAGATAATGATACAGCAGTGACGTAGCAGTGCGTCATGAAGTAAAACGGGTGACCACTGGCAATGCGGTCTAGACATGAAAAGCTCAACTGTGTGGTAGCAACATGAATTTGAATAGAATCGCAAAAAATCGAAATAGTCGCCATGGTTTCATAAACTTGGCCTGTCCACGTTTTAAACGAGAATCTGAGGGAGGGCGATCATTTCGCGTGAGAGCAGCAAGACTTTGGAACTTAGTTCCCAATTTTTTTTTAAAGACAAGGGAAAGTGTACATAGTTTTAAAAGTTACTGAACTGATTTTTATGCGTCTAGTATTCGAGACATTCATCATTTCACTTTTTTTTAGCTTGTACATGTACAGTATTAATTTTTAATATAATCATAACAATAACAATTTCCTCAAATGTGATTGGTGCATAAACTGGTGTATTTTGCTCTAATTAATCTGCAATGTTGTCATCGGACAGTGTAATCGGACAGTTGGCTGTGATTGGACACCTGTAATCGGACAGTTACATAAGCCAATCATTTTAAGTCCTCGTCACTAAATCCATCAATAATAACATTGATCACAGTCACTATAGTAACCATTTCAAGAGACTGACTTTGTAAAATTGCGAAGGTTGAGTTTCCAGTGACTGTTTTGAAAGAAACTTAACAGCCATTTTGCAAGCTATTCCCGTGATTTATTCCTAATTACGATATTTAAAAATGGCTATTAAAAGCTATTTTTCAAATAGTTCGCGGTCGTCCGATTTTGTTAATCACTCGTATGATTACAGACCGAATTGGACGACCCGATATCCTATTACCGTTATTAATCGTATCTATAACAAAATTCTCGATCGTGATTGGTTCTCCTCGCGCCTATTTGTCACGTAATTGGCACGCGATTATGTGGGTGTCCAATTACAGGTATCCAATTTGAACTTTTTGTAATTGGATACCTATATTTGGATACCCACGTGATTTTCACGTCAACTACGCGCGCTTTAATGGCTTCTTTAGCAATGTTCCTACAGTTTTCTTTTAAGCTTATGAAAAGCGCTACAGACGTTTCCGCTCAAAGGAACTTCCCAAAGACATTTTCAATTCCGAAATTTGTTATAGATACGACTAATTAGTAATTGGACCTCGTGTCGTACAATTCAGGGAGTAATCATGCTCGTATTTTGAAATCGGCCTCGCCCTTCGCGATCGTCCGATTTTAAGATTACTCGCGCGATTACATCACTGAATTGTACTCCACGTACTCGGTCCAATTACTATTACTTATAATGTAATAATCAATTTGCCTTGTAGCTAATCTTGTATGCTTTTTCGACTTTTATTTCTACTAAGATTTAAATCATTTTACATAGGTTTTGATAGATTATTGTATATTTTAAAGGGCCACAGGGGCCACAAGTTTATTATTTGTATAACTACTACGTGCTTTTGTCCTCTATAAATAAAGATTGATTGATTGATTGATAGATTGACGATTGATTGATTAATTAATTGAAGAATTTAATTTCTTCTTCGAAGAACTGTTCTATTTAGTTAATAAATTAATAGCTAATCTCTTCACTCGTTTTTGTTTTAGCCACTCATGTTAAAAATTGCTTTTGTGGAAATGACTAATGGCCTCTTTTCGTAAAGTCTAAATGCAGTTTTACAAGAGGTTATACGAGATGTGCGTAATACAGTGCTATTTATTAGTTTTTTTTTTATATATATATGCCTCGTCTTCAAAACGTTGTGCTGCTTCGCTGAGAACTCCATCACAAATTTATTCAATGAAAATGTTTTTCGCCATCTGTAATAAAAATGTTGACTACAAGTAATGCGGCGAAAAACAATAAGACATGCTTTTTCTATGCTCAAAATACCGCGTGCCTGAGGTTTTTTGGACTAAAAATTCCACTTTCCTTGAAGGTTTACTACAAAATTGATAGTTTTATAGTCTATATTAGGCCAGTTGTCGACGGTGATCATAAACACATTGTCTCTAATCAATGTAAAGGGAAATGAGCTGTTTTCCTCCTCTTTTTAGCTAATTACAAAGTCTCCTGGGAAAGAAATTGTAGAAAATCTCTTATCGTGCTGCATTTTTCTTCAGGTATCGTTGCACCTACATGTATGAAATCGAGAAACATTTGCATTTTACAAACAGTTTGAATGTCTATGGTAGAAGTAAGAAACTTGCAGCCATGCAGCTAGTCTTAGTTTAAAGGTCTTTGAGCCAGCTTGTAAATCCCTTAACTTTCAAACCGGGCTGCTTTACCAAGGAGCTTGAATTCTACCTTAAATTTAACCGGGAACATTACCTATAAGAACACTCAGAGCCTTATCTTTCTAGAAAATTCGATGGCTAGCCTGCTTTGCTACGCTCATAGTATGATGATTATTTTCCTGTACACCTGCGTGAACGAAATCCCTTTAACACTTAAACGAAAGAACAGAATGAGCCACTTTCAGATTGGATACAACTTCTTCCAGAATTTCTAGAACAACTTTCTAGTTTCTAGCAAATTCAGTTATAACTGCTACTTTTTCTCAGCAGAAATATTTCTTTTATCTGCTGTCCCAGCAAGTTCCCTGAGAAAATCTCTCAGCCATACACCCACCAATTGGCCGGTTGAATGAACGGGAAACGGTAGTAAGGTTGATTCACAGGGGCGGCTACCAGACAATCGAACAAAAAATTTTCGAAATTATAAAACATGTTCATTGCTTAATAGTTATAAGTTCTATTCAAGCTGAGCAGTGACTGTCTTTTGACGCAATCCTTTCAGTGCTTCTGAGCAACCCACGATGCGCAGGGCGTGGCACATTTTTGCAATCGTTGCTCCCCGAGGGCCACGACTTTGCTTCCATGCTAAAAGCCCCTCGTAGCACTTGTCAACAACTTTACAGTTCTTGTAATCTTCATCTAAATTTCTAATGGTCATCTCATTCATTAACAGGTTCTGCAGACCGTGAGCTGCCTCCAACGTAGGGGCTTATGTAAAAGCAAAATTTTTCGGTTACCACTTCCTTAAAGTGGCCACAATATGCGGATCCTTCGCCTCGTGAAGAATCTGAAAAAGTCAGTTAGTGGTTAGGACTGTGTACGACCTACATACTGTACTGAACAAGTCAGTAGAAGCCACTGTGTATCAGATCGAATTGCCATATGCACCTAGGTGGTGTGACTTCGCAAATAGCCCACTGTGAGTTCTTGTCGGGAATCTTGCTCGTCATTTTTGTTAAGGATAATCTCGAGACAAACAGACGAAAACAGCAGCAACAGCAACGACCTAGACACCGATTTACAATATATTCCATCCAAATGTTCCAATCTAGACTGTATGTATATGTTTTTCTGTTTTTCCTCGGTGAATTGATGCAACAGGAATTTATTTTACAATCTCTTTCCTTACTCGTCTCGTTTCGTATTGTCTCATCCAGTCGCCTCTCGTCTTATCGGCTTTTTGTTTTGGTTTTGCCTGTATTTTCGTGTTTGTTTTGTTTTGTTTTTGTTTTGTTTGTTTTGTTTTGTTTTGTTTTTTGTTTTTTGTTTGTTTTGTTGTTGTTGTTTTGTTTTTTGTTCAACTGCATTTAGTCAAAGTTTGTTTAATTTATCTCCCTAAATTGTCAGATTTCAGTGTCCAGTAAATGCAAAGGAAGAAATTAATAATTTCTCCATTTTTTTTTTTTCTTATTTGGGGTGGGGTGTGGGGGGAGGGGCAATCAGTTTTTTTGGGTTTTGGATCTCTTGCCAGATGGCTAAGGATATAACTGGAAGATAAATCGATATCCAAGATTTCCGAGTCCTATTGCTTTTTCATATTCATTATTATGATACCGAAATTTAAAACAACAACAACCCGGAGAAATATGGTATTGGTCCACTGCACAAGCTTGGCAATCAGTAGTGTTAAAGAAGTATCCACGCGAACAATTTACCGACAGATAAAATAAGTAGCATAGGAAGTAGAAAGTATTAGTATCTAGGTTAATCCTAGCTTATGGAACCAGGCTAATTTTAGTCTTCTGCTTATGAAAACAGAAAGCACTTTGGTGGTTTGTTACCAAAGACATATTCAAAACTTCCCTCCGCCTAGCTCTTGGTCTCATGGTTTAGCTCCATTGTGCTGAAGCGGTATCAGTAAATCTGACACGTTCTACCTTTCGGCAGGTGGAAAAAGAAAAATCCACGCGATCATAACACTTAAAAAACCGCCGATTGGACCGATTTATCCTTTACAATCCCGATCCGACTCTTATTGACAAAGATTTTTTTTGTGATTTTGACATGTTTGCTTTTTCTCGGAAAGTGCACATTATATGATAGTTTATTGCCAGCTCATTGTGATTCCTAGATTTTTCTTATTTGAGGATTGCATTTCGTCTTTTGTTTGCTTCTGTCCCCCTTTATCAAAAAGGTTTCCTACAAACACATTATCACACAGCTTAAAATTCCATTTCGGGGACGTTTACGTAGCTCTTTATTTACGTGCAAGCCAATGTTTAGCTTAAGTCTGTTGCTAGTTGTTTATTACATGGATTGTAATGATACTTGTATCGGAGGGATCGAAAAATGGTCACCAAATTTTCAGCACAAAATTATACTCTTTAAAATGTTGCAAATTTTGCTCTCGAAGAGTTTAAAGAGTGTTCAGAATACAAGCGTTACCTCTGGTAGCATTACGTTACTACAAAATTGGCAGTTTCATATAAGGACAGTTAAAGGACGTCAAAAAAAAAAAACAAACAAACAAACAAACAAGCAAAAATACACCATAAGTGAGATTCAATATGGCATATTCAACAATCTAAGAACGACTAACCTTTTTAAGAGTTGTTTTCTGATAATAGACCTAAGGGATATTTACTAGTAATAACTTTCCCCAGTCTACTACAAAATTGACAAGTTGATATAAGGCCTAGGCTAATAGACAGCTTACGGTCACTAATCAAACATTGCCTCTCAATTGATATTGGTTGCTCGGACAAACTTTGTTCCCCTCTATACATGTACGTTTACATTGTACCTTATTGTAAACTTTTTTCTCAGAAAGAAATCGTGACCCTTTGATTTCTTGAGGTAGAGTTTTCTTCAGGTACTCGGCTATGAAATTCTGAGGTATTACCGTTTTATCACTTGCTTTATCGAGGTACACACAGTTGAATATCTGTTCCACAAGTGAAAAAGAAATTTCCTGTAAAAACCATGCACTTATGTGTTAGCTTGTATACCTTGGCTATCACACCGGGCTGCTTTACAAAGGAGCCTGAGTTCTACCTTAATTAATCGACGACGTCACCTACAAAGAACATTCTCTGGAAATTCATCCAGGTATTTCTCACCCGAAAAGCAGGAAGTGCAAGAACTAGGCTAATGTAACAAAAAAGCAATTGCACTTCTCATGCTAGCGGCGAACCACGAGAAAATGGAGGGGCTAGGCTAACAACTACCTAACGTTTGCCGTTGCACAATAAAGGGGACTACTACAATTGTCTCTTACACGTGTTTAACGAAATTTCTTGATTATGAGATCTGTTCATGTTCCAATAGTTCTACATTCACTGATGCTTGGCTCTTTGTTGTTTCTGCAACGTCTGAAGTGCATCGAAACAATTCGTGTGATGGAGAGCAATAGCTAGATTTTTAATGGTTGCTAACTGAGGGTCAAGCTCTTTCCATTTGAGGAGGCCCTGGATGCACTGTTCGGTAATTTTGTCATACTTGTGATCCTCGCTCAAATTTTCAATGACCTTCTCCTTCAGAGACATTATTCGCAGAAGGTTTTTCCAGTCGCGTCCAACATCGGGGCTGATTTGATAAATGAGTTCATCTGTTACTGGCTCCCTACCCAATGACGAGACATAGTTATCCCAGTCAACGGAATCTTCGTATTGCAAAGTACCTAGGAAAAACCGTCAGTCAACATAACGATTAGTGCGGCATGCTATACATACATTGTGGATCAGCAAGCAAAAACAACTTGGGCATCGATTTTTCGATTTTTCAAACTGATAGATGGCTTGATAACTCAGTTGCTAGAGCACTGCACTGGTATCGCAGACGTAATGGGTTCGAATCCTGTTCAGGCCTGAGTTTACTTTTTTATCCACTAATTTATTATTATTATTATTATTATTATTATTATTATTATTATTATTATTATTATTATTATTGTTATTATTTTTTGTTTTTGTTTTTGTTTTTTTTTTTTCAGTCTTTAAGTTGTGTGTATAACTGCGATGATCAATCATATCTTCATATCATTCTCCGCAGTTCAAATACACGATCTTTCATACACTCACTTGCGGTCTCTCTTTTGATCGAAAATCTGTAGGGAAGAACGCAAAGAAGAACACAACACAAGAGAACAGTCGTGAGCGTGCGAGCGTGATATGCGATGCCGTGATCTCCTGCCCTATTCCCGGCTCGCGGCTATCGCCGCTCGCACGAGACGCTCTCAAGCGCACATGACTATTTTTCGTTCTTCCCCACGGATTTCGGAGGAAAAGATAGACTGCTTACAGTGTACCCTCTCAGCGATTCAAGATCACCTGAAGTTGGATTAAAGTGTATCTAAAATGCATCATAACCCGAATGATCTTGGTTCTTTGCCATCTCAACCGGATCTTTCCAACGGAACACATCCTTTTTTCGCGTTTTTTTTTTTTTTTTTTNGTTTGTCTGTCTTTTTAGATCTTTAACCAGAGGGCTCGGGAATTATTGGGTTATTTTCGAGTCGCTCTTAGTGTAATTTGAAAATCCACTTACCAGTGGCTGGGTCTGTTTGGCCGCCTTTTGCTGAGCGTCGTCGGATACTCTGCTGCTACACAAACAGATGATAATTCCAAGTCAGCTTTGAAAAGCTGGGAGAGTTGTTTATAGCTTGCCCTTACTAAATCTTACATGTAACCAGTCTGCTCTACTTGCTGAAGACTTCATAATTTCCTGACAGAAAAAGTAGAGGGGGAGGGAGAAGGGGAGGGGGAGAGGGAAGGAGGAGGGGGAAGGGGAGGGAGGTGTCTGTTGGGGTGTGGGGGAAAGTCTCCGCCCTTTCTTGAGCGGTTTTAACTCTTTTTGAACATTCAAGTAAAATTTGGCAAATTATTATACTTTATCTGAAAAAATATATATATTTGCAGTCCTCGATGTGATCATGTCGTGGATGCCTTTATCATCTTATGTGGCTTCCATAAGATCATCTACTTCGATATAATTATCATTGCTTGAATAGCTTTGAAGTTATGGTAGGGGTCAGATTCTCCTCTCCCCTCACCCCTCTTGTAGAAGATGTAGAAAATCAAAATAGTCTGATGTCATAGAGTTAGTTTTGATTGAGACGATTTTTCAACCTGAAAGACAAAACTTAAAATTCAAGATGACTGATCCCACCATTTTGGGACAAAGGAGCTAACATTATTGTCCATTATGCTTCTGTGGCATGAGTCAAAAAAGAAAAAAATTCAAGGCTTCCCCTATTATATTGCAGCAAGTATTTTTCTCTACCCTCAAAGTCGTAAATCCTGGATTCAGATAAAAGGAGTGTTCCTCGTCGTCATCTTTCTGTTGAAACTTTACCCGACAAGAGAACCCGTTAAAATCTAGACCGTCTTCTGGTTTAACGAGAAAATCGCAAGCCTCTGTAGACCGAAATCCACATCCAGCTTTCTCGGATTTGCATATCTACAAGTGATGAAACACACAGAAAAAAACATATAGTCAGTAATTACGGCATTGTGAGAAGAAAGGTTCAACTTTGCTGATGTTGAAGACTGAGATGATAACGACATTAAAGAAACAAACAACTGTTGTTGTTGTTGTTGTTTTTGACGCTCGCAGAGTCTTCGAGCCCGTAAGGTTAGATATCAGACTTGTAAGTCTCACGAGACAGTAAGAGCAGGATTCACATGAGTGCAATGGAATGGAGCGTGTACTGTAGGTACCGAGGAACAACAAACGAAACATTGGACTTCCGTTAGACCAAGTGCTCCCCTTTTGCCAGTCACTAAGCAGCTTCAAAAACAGGTGATAAGTTAGTTAATCCATAACAAACGAAGAGGAGTCCCTTTTGCGACTTATTCGTTGGATTAACTGGGTTGGCAATTTCTCATAATTTTTCATTATTTTTTTTTAGTATTATTATTATTATCATCATCATCATTATTATTATTATTATTATTATTATTATTTTGCCTGCGTGTGCGAAAACAACGAATGTTATCGCGCGCTGGGAACGACTGGTAAAGATGACTTCTGTAATTTTGGTTTTAATTGTTGTTAACCAGCTAAGTCTGGTCTAGATGGAGATGTGCTACAAATGTGCTTTGCTCTTATTTGGGGCTAAGAAATTCTCAAAATAGCGGTACCTGCCATCTGTGAGTCTTAATACTGACCAATTTTTTGAATAAAAGTTACAATTTACCTGTGCATCGTCAGTATTGTGGAAGTTCCAGCCTTCTTCAAGGTAAGTGAGTTTCACTGTGATCATTCTGTTGTCTTTGTACATTCTGAAGGGCCTCACCCTCCCTGGCCTCGAGTCAGAAAAGCATTCCTTTTCCGCCAACTCCACGCGCTTGCGAAAAGGAAGACACACACAAGTAAATAACAAAGATGTTAAAATGAGATCAAATAAGTATATACCCAGAAAAATCCTCTTACAAAGAAACCTTCCTGCAATTCGTACTAGTGATTTACCGTGCTCCAACCTAAATTTTCTTACTTTTTTCACACCTAACTAACAAGAGGATCGATATCCAAGACCTCATTGATTGATCCATCCATCCATCCGTCCACCTATCCCTTGAATTAAACAACGTTTTCTATCTATTTTACGGCTTTACTCTATCTACTATTGATCCCAGACGTTTGTTAAAGTGGCTGTTGTCCAGGTCGTTCTCGAACCGTTGGTTTCATACACGGATTCCAAAACAAAAGTGATCACGTTATGACGAATTTCATGAAGTGAATCTCCTGCCTCGAGGAATGTGCTTCACAGTTTGTTTGCAAAATTCATCATCACACGGATATGATTTCCCTCGAACTTTCCACTTCTGAGGAATCTGCAACAGCTCTATTGTAAACTATAACCTTGCAAGAGATGTTTGTCATTACGTAATCACTTGTTTTTGGATCCGCAGCTTAAGCCATTTCAACAAACGTCTGGGATCAATAATAACTGTCTATCTATCCATCCATCCATCCATCCATTCATCCATCCATCCATCTCTGCATCTTCAAAAATGTATGCATTGATAGATCTATATGCCCCTTAGAGAGAAAAAAAAAATCTTTGTTTTCCCGTCGATAGCATCCTCTTTATCAGTGAAGATGGCCTGGAATTGACTTACTTCTTCACATTCGTTGGGTACTCTCTCCCAGTTTGAGCAACCTGTATAAATAGTAGTAGCGTTTGCGTTATTATTTTGTTTATTTTTATTTTATTATTAATATTATTTATTATTATTATTTATTTTTTTTTTTTTTTAACGGCTACAAGTTTAGTTGACCTGGGTATGGCCATGCCTGTACCTATGTTTATTTTCAACCCTATATCTGTGCCTTGTTTATGCCTATACTTATCACGCCTGTGACCATACCCGTATCCGTGCCCTTGCCGGTGTGAGTACTTGGAAAAAGGCGGGTTAATATTAGGGGCCAGCGAGAATTTCACTCAGGCACCGTGCTCGAGCGCTTAGTGTGAGCAACGCCTTAAGCTACGTTCACATCTGGTGCCCAAGCATGGTGCCTTAGTGTGATTCTTACTGGGCACTATTGAGAAGAAGCTGAAGTGTTCACACCGGAATTTAAGCTCGAGCACAGGTACAATGTCCTGATCTTGTACTCAGGAACTAAATCTTACTAGGGTATTTGGAATATCCGGTGTCTAAGCGCAACAATGTTTTGTTCCCGTTTCCAGGTACCAGGTAGTTAGTGAGAACACAGCGTTAAATTTTTGCAGTGTTCCCTGAAAATGTTTAGAACTTTCTGCAGGCGACAACATTCGGGACCCCATGAGAGGTATAACCTCTAACATTTAAGAGCAGCTTGCTCGAACGGTCACCTATACCTATGCAGGATAGAAAAATACGATTTTCTGAAACTTTGTCAGTAAGAAGGTTTTTACTAACTTATTTCGAAACTGTATCTTTAAGGTTGTTTGGATTTTTATTTTCTTGTGGAGACGGCCTTACGTATTTTGCCCAGAAAAGAGCAAAACTTGACCCCAAAATTACGGTTTTTGTGAGCGCTAGCAAGCCAAAATAATATGCGTGGCTGGAAAAGCTAACCCATAGTGCTAAAAAATAATCTTTTAGCAGTTATTTGACGTTGTCAGATCAGCATGAAATTTAAACCTGAAGTTTTAGCATTTTTTTTTTAAAATTATACGCCTCGATGATGTTGCGTCACTGTAAAATTTAGGCCAATTTCGTGGACCAGAAAGTCAATCTGGTACATGGATTTACCTGCCCAAACTATTTTTCTGGTTAAAGTATCCCTCAAACTAAGTTTTTATCGCAAATCTAGCTTGGGTAAATACAACCAAAAAAAATTGAGAGCGTCTCGAAGACTAGGCACTTGAGCTGATCGCCTGACAGTTTGACCTTTCACGCCGCGATCACTATCTCCAACATTGATCCAGAAATGTTTGCCTTTGGGTCTAATCTCCAGTAAACTAGTCTTTAGCTCTGATCTCTAAGATCAGTTACTGTAATTGAAAATACGTATCAGGCTGCAAACGAGCATTTTAAGCAGATGTTTATTTTGACTACAGACAACGCACGCAACAGAATATCAGATCGTAAATCAGCACCGAGAGTAATCTTTGAGAAAACTAGTGAAATACACAGTTGACGAAACACTTGGAGTGAATTCTTAACTTAATTTAGCCTATCTTGATAAAAAATGGGCTGAAACATCACTTGCAACTTTTATACGTTGCGTGTACGAGACATCTTCAACTGTCGCCAGGTCACGTAGCCATCACGGTCGCGCGCCTGCGTTACCGTTTCTTTGTTTGCACGTAACAAGGCGACAGTTGAAAATACCTCGTACACGCAACATATAAAAGTTGCAAGCGATGTGTCCATTTCAAATTAAGGTAAGAAATCACTCCAAGTATTTCGTCTACTATGTATACCACTAGTTTTCTTAAAGATTACTCCCGATGCTGATTTATTATCTGATATTTCGTTAAGTGTTTTGTCTGTAGTCGCAAACCGCTAAATGTATGATTTCTTATTCAAAATAAACATCTGCTTAAAATGCTCGTCTGCAACCTGATACGTATTTTCAATTATTGTAACTGATCTTAGAGACCTAACGATTATTTTACTGGAGATTAGACCCAAAGACAAACATTTCTGGATCAATGTTGGAGATAGCGATCGCAGTGTGAAAGGTCACTATGTCAGGCGATTAGCTCAAGTGCCTAGTCTTCGAGACGTTCTCGATTTTTTTGGTTTTATTTACCCAAGCTAGATTTGCAATAAAAACTTAGCTTAAGGAATACTTTTAACCAGAAAAATAGTTTGGGCAGGTAAATCCATTTACCAGATTGATTTTCTGGTCCACGAAATTTACCTAAATTTTGACGTGACGCAACATCATCAAAGCGTATAATTTTAAAAATTTGTTAAAACTTCAGGTTTAAATTTCTTGCTGATCTGACAACGTTAAATAACTGCTAAAAGATGATGTTTAAGTACTACGGGTTAGCTTTTCCAGGCACGCTTATTATTTTGGCTTGCAAGCGCTCACAAAAACTATAATTTTGGGGTCGAGTTTTGCTCTTTTCGGGGCAAAATACGTAAGGCCGTCTCCACAAGAAAATAAAAATCCAAACAACCTCAAAGGTACAGTTTTGGAATAAGTTAGTAAAAACCATCTTCCTGACAAAGTTTCAGAAAATCGTATTTTTCTATCCTGCACAGGTATAGGTGACCGTTACAGAAATCTGCTCCTAATTACACGAATAGCTTAAAGAAAGAAAACTAAGGTGTAAAAGAAACCAACAAACGTTACCTTGACCAAAAATCTCCCCAACAGTACAAGTTGATGTGGCCTCCATTTTTTTGATGTATTTTGAAAATGCCGTGGGAGGGCAATTGCGTAAAGGTTCGTTTTTAGAATTTGGTGAATCAAGCGCATTCAACTCGTTTTCAATCTGAGAGAAAAAAAAAAAAGTAGTTTTTTTTTTTTTTTTTTGTTATAACACACCAGTTATATGTTACATTTAAACCTTTCTTTTATATTTAGATCTAATTAGATGGCGATTTGATTAGAAACCAAATACTACCAATGTTTGAAACCTAATGACGCAAGCCAGCTAAACGAGAGCAGTCTACGTTAGCCTATTTTCAAATGTTCAAAATCCTTTGTGGTACACGGCTTTTTCCCAAAACGACTTCTTTAGTCAGAAGACGCATTGCTTCTTTTTTTTAAATTGGTGAAATAAAATTTTTGGGCAAATAAAATCGGGAATACTAAGGCAGCGAGCTAAATGGAGACCTACTTCCTGAAACGCGACCTTTGACCTTAGCGCAATGAGAGAGAAGAAAGTCTCGTTACTTTGAAACATTTTTTACCGATGTCTCTCCAAAACGGTTATATTGCGAGAAAATTTTTTGAGACATGAAAACGTAGATCGTCAACGAAGGAGCTTAAGGTTATATTTTGACACAATAACTTGTTTGCTAATAATTGAGGTCATTGGACGTTCTCGAATTCCATGGGAGGAAAGAGGACGAGGGAAGATCATTCAACTCCCCCTCTCTGCATGTCGTGGGAATATATTCTACATATACTTCCAAGGATAACATCATTTTCAAAAAGTGCCAGGTATGTAAAATTGGTATATCGCTCAGAGTAGAATTTGTAATTAAACTTTTGTTATCCTAGCAAGGATTAGTCAAGGGTGATAATAATAATAATAATAATAATAATAATAATAATAATAATAATAACAATAATGATGATAATAATAATGATAATAATACTAATAATACTAATACTATACTAATACTAATACTACTACTACTACTACTAATTGCTGGTTTTCAGTGTCACGCAATTCAAAATAGATCAAAATAAAAATCAAAACCGGTCAATAGATAAAGTCCAGAATCTGGGAAATGAAAGA